TTTTGCAGCTCTGTTGTTTGATGCACAATTAGAATTGCTGTGCCAAGGGAGGGGAGAGGGGCTGAAGGTTGAGCTGATTACTAATGGCCAGCAATTTAATCAACAATGCCTCCACAATGACACCTCTATAAATCCCAGAAGGATAGGGTTTGGAGCACTTCAGGGTTACTGAACACATCCATGTGCTGGGAGTGTAGGGCACCTCGTTTCACAACACTTGTGCTCAGGACCCTTCCGAATTTTATCCCTGTAACTCTTCACATGGCTGTTCATCTGTATCCTTTAAAATATTCTTTATAATAAGCCATTCCATGTAAGTGTGTGTTTCCCTGAGTTCTGTGGGCCATTCCAGCAAATGACTGAACTTGAGGGAGTCATGGGAAACACCAATTTATAGACCCTCCATCAGATATACTGGATGCCTGGACTTGTGACTGGCATCCAAAGTGGGGAAAATCTTGAGACTGAACGCTTAACTGTGGGATATGAGTCTGCCTCTGGATAGTGTCAGAACTGAATTAAATTATGAGATACCTAGCTTGTGTTGGAGAACAGGTTGTGGGCTAAACCCTATACATCTGGTCACAGCTGTGTTCCGTGTTGAATGAGTGTGTATCATAGAAGACATTTTCCCCTTCATCACAGCATGTGATTGCTTAACATCACTTCTTGCATAGAGTAAGGGTACACAGAAGGCAAAGGTTATTTATGTTTTTCTCAGATATACTAACAAATAGTTGCCACAGAGAGAAAAACAAAAATGCTTTCGCTCTGGATTTAAACAGTAGGGCCAAATAAATACTTTATGGGATAGAACAGCAATTCTTGGTCTAACAATGTTATTATTCATAAATGACCAACAACTCACTAGTCTACAATATTTTGCCAATATGCTCCATTCTGCTAAGTTCTTAACAAATAATGTGTAGGGAATTTGGATGCCCATTGCAGATCTCTGGCTAATTTACAGGGGTAGTAAACAAAACCCTAGATTCAAAACCATAGGACTTTAACCTCCTAAAAAGTTCCTAATAAATGTACTTTATTTTTATTTTTAAAATCTGTTACAGGAACTATTGTTTAGAAAATTAATGACCCATCTGTAACTCTATAATAATGTTTGCTCTTCAGGCTTTGCTAAGAGTAAGACTGCATAGTAATGGGTAAGAATGATAATCTATCTGTAAGCAATAGGACGGTTAGGCCAGGCCTTTACTGAATAATACTGATATATGTTGTTGTTGTTATCTCTCTCTGGCAGTGGTTTTCAAACTTTTCTGACCATAACCCACAATAAAAACTACATCATAGGTTATTACCCAGTATGAAAACACACACACACACACACACACACACACACACACACAAAGTAAAAATTTCATGAAACAATACTTAACTACTTGTGATGTACTCTGATCAATATATTTCTATTGTTCTCTTTTATTCTCTTAAGTTAAACACCCTAAAAGCCACGACATTAATTTCATGACTCGCCAATAGGCAGTGAGAGACTCTCAGCTGCTCTTTGAGAAATCCAAGGCTGCAGTTTCTGAAATACATAAATGTGGTCATCTTCTTCCTACAGTGGGACATTCTCTGCTGATGGCGTAGGATGGGATGGAAGGTATGGTTTAACCAAGTAGTGTTTCCTTGGAGTTCAACATGCTTAACATTTAAACTGAAAATTTTCATCCTTTAAAATTTGGGGCAGGGTTTCATGATGGTATTCCCTCAGTCAATCAAATTAAGTGCTACTTCATTGCTTAGAATATATTTTTATGCAGGAAATATAGCATGTGTTTGAATATTTTTAAAAGCTTTTCCTTAAATTAAAAAGCGATTTATATTTAGTAAAGAAAAATGCAAACAAATATAAAAAAAATTCCAAAACCAACAGATAATCATGGCAACATAGGTTATTTTGTTTATGTATCTGTCCTACACATAGACAAATTTAAAAATCACATATTTACAGTTTGCATTCTCAAGACCAAGAGATAATTGTGGTAACATTTTATATGTTATTTTCTTTCTATGTTTTTCCTATACACACACACACACACACATACACACACACACACTTAAAATAACACACATAAAATTGGATAATTTGGATTTTACATGCAGATATGTCTTCTTCCAACTATTATAAACATCAGAAGTTATTTTAAAATATTTCATAGGCTGGAGAATATCAATGAAATGGGATAATTTATTATTTCTCCATATTTATTATGTCTACAATAAATCTAAATTTATTATAGACATTTAGATTTTTTTCAAGTTTGTGAGGGCTGTTTATTTTTGTTTATGTTATTCTTCCATGAAAAATTATGCATTCATTTGATTTATGCACTCAAAAGCATTTATTTTTAATCTTAATTTTTTTTGTTTCCTTTTATTTCTATAAATTCCTTCCCAATTTCTACTCCAATCTAAAGACAGGTAAATGTTAGATATAGTAAGATTAGATAAATTATTAGATTACAGTAACAGATAATTCCAATGTTCCATTGCTGTTTTGGGGTACATTTTTAAAAAATCATGCTAAGTTAATATTGTTCAATTCCCTTAAAAATATAGTAATGGGTAGTGAATATTACTGAATGGAGTTCAATACTAGGTGCCAATGCCTAGTTTGCAGTATAAGTTCAGTGAAAATTTTGTTGAATGAATCAACAATCACAATTTTTTTTTTTTGAGATGGAGTTTTGCTCTTGTCACCAAGACTGGAGTGCAATGGCGTGATCTCAGCTCATTGCAACCTCTGCCTTTCGGGTTCAAGTGAGTCTCCTGCCTCAGCCTCCTGAGTAGCTGGGACTACAGGCATGTACCACCACACCCAGCTGATTTTTTAAATATTTTAAATAGAGACGGGGTTTCACCATTTTGGCCAGGCTGGTCTCAAACTCCTGACCTCAGGTGATCCACCCACCTCACCCTCCCAAAGTGCTGGGATTACAGGGGTGAGCCACTGTGCCCGGCCCAACTTTATGTTTTTTAAAAAATTAAAAAGAACTGAAAACTAGTCAACAGTTACAGAAATGTACAAAGTAGAAAGTGAATCTCTTGAAATTGTGTTCCTCAAGATAAATGTTGATTTAATGTATATCCTTCCAGATATTTTTCTATGAAGTGAGAATTACACTTTACTATTTTTATTTTTGAGACAGAGTCTCAGTCTGTCACCAAGGCTAGAGTTCAGTGGCGTGATCTCAAATCAGTGCAACCTCTACCTCCCAGGTCCATGCCATTCTCGTGCCTCAGCTTCCTGAGTAGCTGGAATTACAGGTGCCCGTCACCACACCCACCTTTTGTATTTTTAGTAGAAATGGGGCTCCGTCATGTTGGCCAGGCTGGTCTTGAACTCCTGACCTCAAGTGAACTACCTGCCTTGGCCTCCCAAAGTGATGGGATTACAGGTGTGAGCACCTGGCCTGAATTATTCATTTAACTGCACAAAAATATATGTAAATAGATTTTTACTGTTGTATTGTTGTTTTCTAGTAAAACAAAAAATAGATTGGCTAGAGTAGTTATTGCATCTATGTAAAACAGCCCCAAATAAATCAGTAGTATCTGTATAAACAGACATGGAAAGATGTACACAATGTATCATTATATGGAAAAAAAAGTATTTTAAATATTGATAAATTGCTATAACAAGAGACTTTCCCATTTTAAACCATCAGTGCATTCCTAAATCATCTACTTGATTATGTTAAGTAAGCAATTCTTTAAAAATACAGATAAATTTGTTAGTTTTTAGATGGGATTTTTATTGATATCCCACCAGTGAACTTAGTTTTTGGTTTTCAGTATGCTACCTCTGCCCAAGTTACACTAGGTTCATGAAATGCAATAAGTAACTTCATCTTGTTGCCCTGTATTCCGGAACATCTTACCTAGCACTGAAATCATCTGCATCTTAAAAGTCTAAAAGAATTAACTGATAAAACTAGCCGCTCCCAGAACTTTTTTTATTAAGGTTTAATATGTACATGAATTAAAAACATAAAGAAGTAATTTGTTCAAATTATCTATATCCTTATTTATTTTGAACTGCCGTGACTGTTGGTGGTATATTAAAGTACAGTTGTGTTTGTCAATTTCTCCTTGAATCTATTTAAAAAAATTTTGTTCTAAGGAATGTTTCTGTGCTAAAGCAGCAGTGCAACTGAGACTCTTAAATATGTGCAACTAACTAAAAGGTAAACTCACTCTGGGATATTTGATTTAGTTAAAGCCATTACATTATATGGCCATATAATCAGTTCTTAATTTTTTTTTTTTGGCCAAAAAAGTAGAGGAGTGACAGCAACTTTGCTTATACTTCTTCATAGCCAAAACTCTAGGCATCTAAAAGAAGCATATTGATTCCTTTTCTTATTTAGATAACTGAAATTATCACAGTTGTATTTACTGTAATTTGGATCTAACCTCAGTCAGTCAGCCATCTATTAAAAGCAGACATCCTCTGCTCAATCTTATTTCTTTTTTATCTTAATTGCAATTTCCTTTATTACTTATTTAAATGTATAACTACATTTTTTCTTTATAATAATATATCAAAAAAACCTCCCTACAAAATCCAGCTTCTATTCTACATATAAAAAAACTAGGAGTAGTTTATATCATAGTATTAATTGGATTTTTAATTTTTACTTCCTCTAAGATGAACTTAATTAACTAATTTGCTACTTCACTCTCTGACGAAGACAACACAGGTAATTTCACCCAATCTCTCTGGTACTTCAACTAAAAAATAAGGATAATGAGTTGGCTCCATCATAATAGGGATATATGAAGAATTGAAGCTTAACATTTTTTTGTCATGAGAACCTTTTATAATTTCCCAATGTAAGTCTAGGGAAAGACTAAGCATAATAAAAATGAAGATTTTATTAAGTAGTATGAAAACAGTTTCTTCCACCAGTTTACCTTGCCAATATATTGACTGACAAAGCTTTTATACATTATGGATTTGTATCTGGTTTTACCTGATCCGTTTTTCAGATACCCATTTGCATCTACAGTTGTATACATGATATAAGGTCCAGGTTGATTCACTCCAAAGGGCTGCAATAGAAAAAAAAATAGTTAAGGCTTTGAAAGTAAGGGAATTACTGGAAGTTTCAGGCAAACCTCTTTCAAAGCAAAAAATTCTTACACAGATGACAGTTTCCTATAGACTCCTTTCATAAACAGATAGCACATCAAAAGAAAACCTGTCGTTTCTTAGGATGTTAGTGTTAATAATAAAGAAAAAGAAAACCTGATTAGTAGAAAATTCTCAAGACTTTAAATGATTTAATAGTTGCATTTATATAGTTCATTATTTTAACTGGGTATTTCTAAAATCTGATACTTTGTTGAATACAGCATTGCCTTTTCCCTTCAGTGAGGGATTATATATGTCTTACATTTTCCCACTAAAATATCAACACAAGGAAAATCTATTTATAATAATTACAATAGAATAAAAAATACTGATGATTAGTTCTATCACATTTAAACTCCTGCACATTTAAGGAATATATTATTATTATTATTTTTTCTTGTACTTTAGGTTCTGGGGTACATGTGCAGATCATGCAGGACTGTTGCATAGGTACATACATGGCAAGGTGGTTTGCTGCCTACATCCCTCCATCATCTATATCTGGCATTTCTCCCCATTGAATGTGCTTTGAGAATAACTATACAGAGGAACTGGATCAGGATTTCTAGACTCTGTGTTCCAATACCAGAATGACTGGCCCATGATGATAGGTGAGCTTCAGCTTTAGGACTCGTATCAGACACATTATGACCTGATTTTTTTAACTGAATACAGGTGGGAGAGAGAACACGAGAGAACACTGCTTTTTCTTGCCAATACGCAAAATAAGAATGCAGATAAAGGCTCGTGGTTCACACCTGTAATCCCAGCACTTTGGATGGCTGAGGTGGGCAGATCATGAGATCAGGAGATCAACACCATCCTGCCTAACACAGTGAAACCCCGTCTCTACTATAAATGGAAAAAATTAGCTGGGTGTGGTGTCATGCACCTGTAGTCCCAGCTATTCTGGAGGCTGAGGCAGGAGCCCAGGAGGCGGAGGTTGCAGAGAGCCAAGATTGCATCACTGCACTCCAGCCTGGGTGACAGAGCAAGACTCCATCTAAAAAAAAATGTAGACATAACAGTTCACTAATTCTCTCATGAAAGTAGTGTGTAGTACAAAGCATAATATTAATCTTAACACATAAAAATATTTCTTAATAAGCTTATTTTGCATATTTCTGTGATTTCTTCATGAATCATTTAATCAATCAGTAATGTCTCATGAGTAATTCCATGCTTACAGTAACCTATTTTCTCATAGCCATTGGAAGCATATGGACTTCTAAAGATCTTAAAGTATCAGTCAGGCAATTGTGATATTGATAAAATTATATTACTGCTTATCATCCCGGAGAAAAATCATTTTTAGAGCATCAGTAGCCTATCTACATGTCATTATTAACTCTTCTGTACTTTACTGGGAAGATCAGTGGGATTTTGATGCTGTGAAAAATACCCAAAAGAATTTAAAGCATTTCTTAAATATTTTGTCATCTTTTCTTAGGATGTCCATTGCAATCAAGTTTCTTTATGTTCTATTTTATTAGCCTTGATTTCTAAAGAGAAGGAGTATATCATTTTACTCAAGGTTTGAAGAATGTTCCAGAAAAAGGAAACAAGATAGAGATAGACCTCACCATTGTAACTGAGGCACTGTCAATCCAATCAGATTTTTCTTAAATGAAAAATAGTGAACAGACACTTTTCAAAAGAAGACATTTATGAGGCCAACAAACATATGAAAAAATGCTCATCATCACTGGTCATTAGAGAAATGTAAATCAAAACCACCATGAGATATCATCTCACACTAGTTAGAATGGCGATCATTAAAAAATCAGGAGACAACAGATGCTAGATAGGATGTGAAGAAATAGGAACACTTTTACACTGTTGGTGGGAGTGTAAATTAGTTCAACCATTGTGGAGGACAATGTGGTGATTCCTCAAGGATCTAGAAATAGAAATACCACTTGACCCAGCAATCCCATTACTGGGTATATACCCAAAGGATTATAAATCATTCTATTATAAAGACACATGCACACGTATGTTCACTGTGGCACAGTTTACAATAGCAAAGACCTGGAACCAACCCAAGTACTCACTGATGATAGACTGGACAAAGAAAATGTGGCTCATATACACCATGGAATATTATGTAGCCATAAAAAGGATGAGTTCATGTCCTTTGTAGGGACATGGATCAATCTGGAAAACATCATTCTCAGCAGACTGACACAAGAACAGAAAACCAAACACTGCATGTTCTCACTCATACGTGGGTACTGAACAATAATAACACATGGACACAGGGATGGGAACATCACAATAACGGTTGAAACTACCTAAATTTAATGAACAACGTTAACTGTACACCCTAAAGGTCAATGAGTACCAAGTAGGGTAAACTCAAAGAGCTCCACACCATGATACATCAAAGTCAAATCCTACCTATCATATCATAGTTAACATTTTGAAAGCCAAAAAGTGAAAGTTGAAAGCAGCAAGAAACAAGCAATTCATCATGGACAAGGTATCCTGAGTAGGATTAACAGCTCAATTCTCATCAGAAACCCAGGAGGCTAGAAGGCAGTAGGCTGATAAATTCAAAGTATTACAAGAAAAAGACTGTCAGCCAAGATGTCTAAAATCCAGCAAATATATCCTTCAAAAATGAAGCAGAAATTAACATACAGCCAGATAATACCAGAAAGAATGTGTTATTAGCACACCTGACTTGTAGGAAATATTAAAGGGAATTCTAGCTGATCTGAAAGAACACTAGGTAGTAAACTGAATCCACACAAATAAAGAGTACTAGTAAAGGTAACTGTAAGTATTCTGTGCAGACGCAGTTGGAAAAAAAAAGGTACTGTAAGGGAACTGTAGGTATAAACACATTTTTGTTTGTAGCTCTTTTCTCCTACCTGATATAAAAGACTACTGTTTGAAACAATCTTATTGATCTCATATTGCTTGAAGATGTAATTTGTATGACAATAATAGTACAAACTGAGGAGTGAATAAACAGATATGTTAGAGCAGTTTTTATAAGCTACTGAAATTAAGTTGGAATTAATATGAACTAGATTGTTTCTAAGTTAAGATGTTAATTGTAATCCTCAGAGCAACTACTAACAAAATAACTTTTTAAAAATAGAGTGAAGCTGGGCTGGGTGGCTCATGCCTGTAGTCCCAGCAGTTTGGAAGGTTGAGGTAGGAGGATCACCTGAGTTCAGGAGTTTAAGACCAGCCTGGCCAACATGGCAAAACCCCAACTCTGTCAAAAATACAAAAATTTGCTGGGTGTGGAGGTGCACATCTGTAGTCCCAGCTACTTGGGAGGCTGAAGCAGGAGAATCCCTTGAGCCCAGGTGGTAGAGGTTGCAGTAAGCCCATATCATGCCACTGCACTCCAGCCTGGGTAAGAGAGTTGAGACTATCTCAAGATAAATAAATCAATATAGAGTGGAAAAAAACAACAAAAGAATTAAAATGATATCCTAGACAACATATAATATTAAAGGATGCAGTAATGGTGGAATTGAGCAACCAAGAAAACATGACATATTGAAAACAAAACAATGACAGGCATAATCTGTTTTATCACTAATTTCATTAACTATAAATGGGTTAAATGCTCCTATCAAAAAGGCAAAGATTAACCAAACAGACAGAACAATATAACCAACTATATGCCATCTACAGAAGACACACATTAAATTCATAGACAACAGATAGGCTGAAAGTAAATGCATGAAAAGGTATACCATGGGAAAAGAAACCAAATGAGAACTGGAATGGCTATACAGATATCAGACAAAATACACTTTAACACAAATTGTTTTTAGATACAAAAAAGGACATTGTATAAGATAAAAGGCCCAATCCATCAAGAAGACATAACAATTATAAGCATATTGCACCTAACCAACACAGCCCCAAAGTAAATTAAGAATTTGAGGAAGAAACAGATAATTCAACAATAGTTGAAAACTTCAGTATGCCAATTTTAATAATAGATAGAACTAGATAGAAGATCAGCAGGAAAAGAGAAGATGTGAACAACACTGTAAACCAACTAGACCTAATAGACTTGTAGAGAACACTGCATCCAACTCTACCAGAGTACATATTCTTCTCAAACACATGTGGAATGTTCTGCAGGAGGGAACTTGAGAACATAAAACAAGTTTTATGGTATACTAGACCATAAAAAAAAAGCTTTAGTCGATATAAAATTATTGAAATTGTACAAATGATATTCTCTGATTGCAACAGAATTAATTAGAAATCAACAACAGAAGAAAATATGTGGAAATGAAACAACATTTTAATAAATAAATCACATACCATAACAAAGTAGGAAAAACTCACTGATAAAGTTGCAAAATCCACATTGCAATGAACCTTAAGACACTGTCACTTGATGACTTTTTGGTATATATCAATTATCTGAACAGGATATTAAAACACTCCCTTTTCTATTACATAGTTATGTGAAGCTGAATTTTTTTCATCTATTTCAACCAAGACAGCATACCATAAAAATCTGAATGTAAAAGGAGTTAAGAGAATATGCTACTATCTTCTATTATGCTAAGCAGTAAAGAGATTTGTAATAACATAAAGCAACATCTCTCTTTTCCCTAATATTTAAATATGAAAAAAATATATATTTTAAATAAAATAGGTTATGTTAATATATTGGGTTATGTTTTAAAAACAAATTAATATCGTGCAGGTGTGGTGGTTCACCCCTGTAATCCCAGCACTTTGGGAGGTGAAGTCGGGTGGATCACAAGGTCAGGAGTTCAAGACTAGCCTGGTGAAGATGGTGAAACCCCATCGCTACTAAAAAAATACAAAAATTAGCAGGGTGTAGTGGCAGGTACCTGTAATCCCAGCTACTTACAAGGCTGAGGCAGGAGAATGACTTGAACCTGGGGAGCAGAGGTTGCAGTGAGCT